AGATTAGAACCAATGGGTGTGTGCGTAGCCGGGATTGCATAATCCGCTCGTAAATAATCAGCGGTGCGCTCGCGTCCTGGTGTGGCGCACCGCACGTTTGCTCGGCCCGAAAAGAATGCGAGTGGTGTGTCACTTGTCGGCAGGTCGATTCCGCGAGAGTAGCGCGAATATAAAGATCGCAATTATGACTTTTCGAGAGAGACTCGGGAGCTCTATCGAGCGCGCCACAGCCTCAGCGGCTACAGCGGCAGCCGCGGCGGTGGCAGCGAACGGTGCACACGCGAATGCATATACATATATCTTTGCCTCGTCGTTGCGGGAATGCGGTCTATAGCGCGTAGGATCGAGAGCGGACCGGCGAGAGGAAGGGAGAGATCGGGAACGAGCGAGCGAAAGAGACACGCAAGGGAAACAGGCCGCAGAGAAAACGAGAAGGAGATATGACGAGAATGGCTGAGAAGAGAGATAGGAAGAAGGGCGAGAAGGAGAGAGAGAGAGAGAGAGAGAGAGAGAGAGAGAGAGAGAGAGAGAGTGAGAGAGTGAGAGAGTGAGAGACACGAAGCAAAAGATCGTGAGGAAAAGGAAAAGGACCAGATCATGCGGAGAAGAGACGTGGAGAGAGACAAGGAAGCCGAGTTTCGTTCCTCCACGCAAGCAGAGAAACGAGAGGAACGAGGAGGAAGAGAGAAGCAGAAAAGGAGAAAGAGAGAGAAGAGTTATGGAGAAAGAAGAAGAATATCATCGACGGTAGGAAGAAGGAGAGCGCGCACGGCAGTCGTAAACGGCAACAATTGCTGCGGGCGTTGCCACTCGAAAGCCCGAGTGCCTAATGCCAGATGTCAGATGGTGGTTAGAGTCATTACGGTCATCACTTCGTACCGCGATACACACACGTTGTGTACCATCGGCCCGATGACGACGTCGATGCACCGCCGTATATATCGATGCAACGGCGTCGTTTTCGCATCTGCCCGATTACACGCAACAACGTCGGCGTTTGCGCTCGATTCTCGATAAAGCGATTCGTGAAAAGTGTTGCGTTCCGACTGAAACGTCGTTGTTTCCGACCGAGTCGTCAAAATCGATGATGAGAGGAAAAAATCTTGACATCTCTCAAAGTGGAGCACGTTCCCTCGAGTTGTTCCATCCAAGTTTTTCGGACTTTCTTTCCTCGGAGCTCCTCGTTGTTAAAAGACGGACAAAAGGGCAACGTGGCTTAATGATCCTCCGTCGCCGGTTAGACTGGATAATGGGGAGACCTGCGCGCGAGGGAAAGATGAATTGGAACAACAGTGTTCTCCTGATGTGTAGGCCTCGAGCGTGTATATATGTATTATGAAGTTATGTGCACGCACACGTACCGTTATGCTCCGCGCGCGGATATACATTGTTGCATTCGATGAGTATACGCGCGCGCGCGTGTGACGGAGATTGGTGCTCGCTGAATAAAGCGCGCGCGAGTCCTACGCGAATCGCGCGGTGGTCGGGTCGCTGAAAAGATGAGTTATGTCATAATTGAATAACTAGTCCGTTTTCAACGAGAAAGATGGTGATACTTCTAGCGCTCTATGATACTCATCTTCCATTTAGATCGTATAAGCTTTCTATCTTGAAATCCGATGTCTCTTCCTATTAGAATTGTACGATGATGTTTTAGCCAAACGAGGACGAGAGAAGAGATCAGAGACAGTGGTTTCTGAGGAGTCGAGCACGAGGACTCGACTCGCGCGCGAGTCCAACTTCCAAAACCCGTTTCTACGTCGGAGCCGCCGTAGATCTGGTCTCTGTTCACGAGGTAGAAAGAAGCAGCGAGCGAGATAGAGAGGGATGGGACGAGAAAACGACAGACAGACGTACGGAGAGAGATAGAACGAGCGAGAACGGCAGAAACACACGTGAAGGAGAAAAGGTCCGAAAAGAAAGGACGAAACGAAGGATCGCATCGGGGGATGCGCAGGGGGATGCGCGAAGAGGGCGTTCGAGAGAGTCCAGGCCCGGTTCTCTGCTGCGTGAGAGGAGGCCCGGACGAAAAATCTGTAATTATAATAATTACACAGCCGAGTGGACAACAATTATAAATCATCATTGAACTAGGCAGCGAAACCCCAATAAAATATATATCGTACCGGGGGCAGCCATTAACATCGAGTCGCATGGCGCGCCGCGCCGGATGCGCGCGCTCATCCTCGTCGCGCGGCATTGCGCCCGGCAACGATTGAAAAATGCATCCTCGGCTTATTCCCGTGCAATTTCCATTGGCATTCAGCGATGCGCACTCGTGCCGCACGAGGATGACAATCCAGCGGAACAAAAAAGGGCCGAGGAGACAGCCAGACGGATGTGAAGGAAGAGAAACAAAGAGAGAGAGAGAGAGAAAGAGAGAAGCGGAAAGATTTCTTTCCTCCCTTTATTTCGCGTTCCACTGCCGAATGTTCACTCTCTCTCTCTCTCTCTCTCTCTCCCAAATCCACTTCCATGAATCGCGATTTTATGAATGATACGAGAGCTCTTGTGAATTCTTCCCGCGAGAGAATAAACATTTCGGTCGCGAAAACACGAGACGCCGCGTCAAGACGCGCTAAACGTATGCGGCAGACTTTTTCTTTTTTATTTTGTTGAAAAATTAAGTACGCGAATCCTACCGAGGCGATTTAACGGTGTGATATATCGATACGATATCGCACACCGATTATATATATATTGCGCCTAACGGCGAATTAGTCTTCAGCGTTATCACTTGCATCAGGCTTTCACTTTTCGGCGACTTTCAGCGCCGCGAGAGAGTGTGAGAAAAGCTAAGAAGAGAATTATCGGTGTTATACTTTCGCACCTATTGCATCTTGTCTCTGCATCAACTTTTGTTCGCGATCGCGCCTTCTAATAACCTCGTTATTATATCGTCCGTGATATGAGACGAAGCGCGAAAAGGTGTAACGTTACTTTCGACGATTACGTTGAGCGTAATACGATCATTCCTGACGTCGTCGTCGACCACGACAGCCGACGGTACACGCGGTAATCGCCTTTGCGAAACAACGCGATATCTCAAATTTCAGAGACCGCCGCGGTTATATTTCCCACATTTCCTTCTGTATCTTTGCTTCTTTCCGAAATCTGTCCCTTATTTAGTTGACGCAACGCCTTGTCGTTATCCCGTGCGCGTTTGCGACATACACAAATGCGCGCTCGGCAGGATGTACCTCGACACGACCGGCTCGTAAAGCACCATCGGTGTCGGAGCTAACTTGTTCGCGCTTTAACACCGCGCTCCGAAGAGAAGAAGAGCTTCTTCTCTCTCGGCGCGGCGGCGGCTAAAGAAACATCAGCGTGTTTTCCTACGCGAGCGGCCACGTGGTCGTCATGTTGTACGAACAACGGCGAGAGAAACGACGAGACATCAGAACAACCGACGGGGAAAAGGTGCTATACACTCTCGCTACGATCGACGCTACGTTCCTGAGCGATTCATATCGGCCGTAATGCGTGTCCGCAAACGCAACGCTTTCCTCATTCAGGTCGTCGCACGCAGCGCACCTACTCGTATTCCCTCTGTGTGTGTGTCCGACTCTCTTTCCCACTCGGGAAAGAAAGAAGGACGCGCGCAGGCCGCATGCAAATGAACGCGCGCGCGGATTTATTCCACCTCCTCGCGCGTACCTTTTTCGCGAAATAAAATACGATGATCGATAACTCGCGCTTCTCAAGTACCAACACAAGAGCGTGCGCGCGCGCGCACGCTACTAATTGAAACACGCTGAAGAAAACCTTACTGTCTCGTTCTCTCGCGAAATACATACTCTCTCTTCGAGTACCAATTACAGCTTTCCCGATGTAACGTACGTACATGCCCGACGGCCCCGCGGCGCTGGTTACGAGCGGGTATACGTTCATGCCCTTTCGCCCGCGTTCGAGAAGCCTTTAATGCGAATCCTAGCGACTTTACGCGAAACGACGTGGCTTATGCAAGAATTAAGCGCAAAGTACCCACCGGGTATATACCGTAACTCTTTCGCGCCAACGCGACATTTAAGATATTAATTTATAAAGGCTCGCTCGCTCGCTCGCTCGCTCGGTTCGCCGCGCGCGCGCAGAGACGGTAAACGTCTCGCGCAATCGATTTCGATGACGGATCAATTAGGTATCGCCGTATAAAGAGCGATGACGGATTTTCTTCCATTGAAGACGGCTGTAAAAGATTATTACTTAGCACGATTTTCCAAAAGTATATACACGTCAATTAAATTTCGATTTTGCAGCGAAGAGAGTGATTACGTCTGCGTATATAATAATATACGCGCGTATTCTCTCGTATTGTAAACGATGACGGTTTAACAAATTGAGACAGAAGACGCACGCAAGTTCTGACAAATCCGAATCGAGCGTTCTTTCTTTCGTTTTGGATATAAATATCAATTACGCGCGAAGGAAACCGCCGACAGAGTATCACGCTTGTTAAGAGAGATGACAGCGTTAACGTTGGCGCCGACGTTACACTCGCGAATGCGCAAACGTCCGCGCGGCAGACAAGTGTGGAAAATATTTCGCACGTCATATAGATATCACGCGGCGTGACAAGCAATTCACAAAATTGCAACAGCTCGCGGACCTATTCCGCAACTTTTTTACGTTACAAACCTGACGAAACAATTGCCGTTAGCGCTGCTATATACGACTTCATAGCGGTTTGAGCGGAGCGTGTGTGTGTTAAAAGAGCACATTAAAACACAATATTCACGCGCAATATTCTGAAGAGCATATAAACGCAAACATATCGCTCACTTTCAACACACCGCCTAACAAATGCGCAAAGGTGGTTTCCATCCGTAGACTTCTAGCGTTCTCTCATCTGTCATACGTAATAAACTGACGTGACATTAGACGCGCTATCGCGCTGAAACGGTCCTTGCTTTCCCACATTTTACTACGCTGCGCGTAAAATCATAATTCGCCTCGTCGCAATAAGTTTTCATCGAGAGAGGAAAGAATCCTTTGTACCCTACCTTGAGAAAACAGTTTCCGACGGACATGTCCTCCGACACGGTGGCGTTGTAGAGCGGCTTCTCGAAGATCGGCTCGTTGTCGTTGAGATCGTGCACTGTCACACTCACGGTCGCGCTGCTGCTGAGAGGCGGACGTCCGGAATCCGTCGCGACTACAACAAAGGTCGGCGCCGGATCGGCCTCGCAGTCCACGTGTGTCACCGTACTGATGAGTCCGGTCGTCTCGTCTATCGTGAACCACGTGGTGTTCTGCAGCGAGTAACGAATAGCCGAGTTGGCACCCTCGTCGAGATCGGTCGCGGTCACGTGAAGCACCGACGTCCCGGGTTCCGACGCCTCCATGAGATGCGCTTCGTACTTCTCGCGTTCGAACTGAGGCGCGTTGTCGTTCACGTCAGTGACGATCAGTCGGAAGGTGCGCACGGCACGCAAAGGAGGCGTACCTCTGTCGGTCGCCTCCACCGACAGATCGTAGATCGGCGTTTCTTCGCGGTCCAGCGGTTTTTCCACAACAACCAGGTAAATAATATTGTCACGCGTGGTCAAGTCGAAGTGACCCTCGCCGCCGGTTACTTTGACATCATTGCCCAAATGTTCGGTTCTCGTGTCGGGATCGCTGATCGATATCCGCGCGACGAATTCGCCAGGTTGCGCGCTCTCGCTGATCTTCGGAGTCGCGTCGTTCGACAGGAAGATGACGGTGATGGTCGGATGATTGTCATTGACGTCGGTCACGCTTACGGACAGGAAGGCGCTCGCCTCGAGCGGTTGAGCGCCGCGATCCCGGGCAACGATCACCAATTCGTGCCGCTCTTTCGACTCGAAGTCGAGAGCCTTGTTGACGTAGATCATACCGGTCTCCGAGTCGATGCGAAACATCTCCTCGCGGTCAGACTGTCGCCGATTAATGGAGTATTCGATGCGACCGTTGTCGTCGGCGTCGGCGTCGGTTGCGTTGACCGCGAGCACCGGCGTGCCGACGGTCGCGTTTTCCGGCACGCTTGTGACGTAGCGAGTCTGGTTGAAGATGGGCGGATTGTCATTGACATCCTGCACTGTCACGTTCACGTGTAAGCGCGAGCGAAGCGGTGGCGAACCTCCATCCAGCGCCTCGATCACCAAATGATAGTGGGAGCGCGTTTCCCGGTCGAGCGAACCGGAGTTCAGATCCAGGTAGAGGACACCGTCGCGACCGCGATGCTGCAAAAGTCGGAACACGTCGCCGTGATTGCCGGACACAATCTCGTAGCGTTGCGTCGTGTACTGACCAAGATCGGGGTCTTTGGCCGGCGGCAAAGCGCGTTTGGCGTCGCGTGGCGAGTTCTCCGGAAACTCCACATCGACGCTCTTAACCGGGAAAGTGGGCGCGTTGTCGTTCTCGTCGAGCACATTGATAATGACCTTGAAATTATAATTGAGCTCAACCAGGACGTACGTCGGCCTGGTCTCGCGATCCAGCACGTTCTTCGTTCTTATCTCACCCGAGGACTCGACGGCCAAGTCGACATCGACCGCGGAGCCCGGTACCGGCACTATCAGATACGGCGGCGTCTCGTTCTCGTTGATGCCTTCGATGTAGCCCACCCGGGTGCCCGGCCGCGCGTTCTCCGAGATCTGCAGGTACTTGGTGCGCTCGGGCTCGCCCGGGGCGAAGGTCGCTCTCAGGACGAGGAACAGTAGTAGCAGATGCCGCATCCTGGGGCTTCCAACACGCCACGGCCGTCCTCTCCACTTCCTCCTCCTCCACCTCCTCCTCCTCCCGTCTCGCGATATTATCTCGACCTTTCCATTCCTAAGCCGCTAGTCGCGGGACGCGCCGTCTCTCAGGCGCGATGACGTGTACAAAACTCGATTGTTATTCTTTCGCGTCTTCTTGATGTCGCGAGTGTCGTCACGACACTCAGTCTCCCACACTTCCGTGGTATTTTTTCTTCTCTACGAAACTTCTCTGTCTAGAACGAAACGGAAAAACGATGACGACCACCGCGCTTTATCTTTTTTCTCACCGGCACCTTTTATTATCACCTAATTTATTTAGCACCAGCACCGAAGCAATCACCAAAAATCACTGCTTTTTTATCTCTGGTTTGTTTCAACTGTATCACTTCCACCGACTTCGCGCTTCTCCACACACGCGGAATATTTTACCCTCTTTTGTGGTGAACGAACGTTTGCATTCACGAGCGATTGTCTCACTGCGTCGTCGACCTGCCGTGGCCGCACGGGCTGCTTCTCGGCAACATACCAACGTCGTCGAGATTCCTTCGCCGAACGTAGTCGGATGCTGCGGAACGCTCCGTTTCGCTATCTCTATCTCTCGATCTTCTCCTAACCCTTTCCTTTTCTTCTTTTATCTTTCGCGCTATCCGCTACACTCACTGTCACCGAGATATCTTCGCGGCGAGATATGGCACATTCTTCGCTTTAGGTCTACGGCCTGATAACCGGCACGATCAGCACGACCGGTCGTGAACTCGGCGCGACCGACTCGCGTCATACATGGTCGTCAAGTGTCGATGGACACTTCTCTCAACTTTGTCCTTGAAAAGTTCTCTTCGTGGTCCCACACACAAGCTCTTCTCGTTTTCTGTTGATTACGCGCCTAATTCGTTCCGCGACGTTCCAGACCGGTCATTGCCATTCTCGCGCTGGCTCTATGTTCTGTTTCTGTGTTGAGATCGTCGATCGTCGATTAAATTCAAAGCCGGAGAGTTAACGACCAGACGGAGAATTAGTCTGTCGTTTGGAATCGCGAAGTAGAACGAGCTGGAGAACGCGCATAAATAATTCTCACAAAAGCTGACGCGATAGCGCGTCTTATCGCGTTGTTTGAAAATAAAGCGAAGTACTGTCAATTTAACGATAACATTTGTCGATATATTTCGCGGTAATAAAAATTAATAACGCGCTTCTGCCCGACCTCGAAATGCTCCGAATAATACGGTACGCGCCCTACGATATTTTTTTTTTTTCCGCGAGATGCTCGTGATTCGAATATATATATACGCTTCTCTCCGCGACTTTCGCAGATACAGCCGAACGCGTGTTGTCCGAGACGAGCAGTTTCTTCTCTCGTTCTGCGCGTCAATATCTGCGGCCGCAGCCTCCCGATTGGAGAGAACCCACTTGGTATCGCGCTTAAGATCACGTTTTTTACGCACGTCAATACCGATTTTCAACCGAACGACAAAATCGGTCCCGATATGACGATAATTTGTTAAGCGCGAAATGCGACGAGGCCAATAAAGCAAGCCTCTTTAAGCACGGCGGTAGCACGAGGTGTCGCGTTCTCGGGCCCAACGTCCGTTCCGCGCGGCTTCGAGGTTAGGCATGCACTGACATGGCGGCACCTGCAAGGCTTACCCTTCCCCTGACTTAGCGGACTTGCCCGGCTCGATCAGGGGGACTCACGGCTGGACCCAACCGGCGGCCATCTTGGAGAGGGGAGCGGTAGTGCTTGGTACCGGGGCCCGATACACGGGGCCCCTGCATTCAACGCGCTTCTCAGCAGCGAGCAGCTAGACCATACCAAACTCTCTTACCTGCCTGCCTGATTGCCTGCTCGCATGCCGACTCGCTCGCACTCTCTGCCTTCTTTCCTTCTTCATCTTCTCTCCACCGTCTTTTTCTCCCTATCTACCTACCTACCTACCTACCTGAACACTCGGTATGCGAAGAACTGACTTACCGTCGGCGCTCATTCCGCGTTTGGCCCGACGAGCCTCCTGTACGCCGGTGCCAAAGGTCCTGGAATTTCGTGACAGGAAAAGTGTCTACGAAAAAACGTATTGTTTCCTATCAGCGTATTGTGCAAATTAGACCTATAGAGGTTTTCTAGAGATCGAGAAGACCTTTTTCTCTTGAGATGTCACCCGATCTATCTATCCACTAACAACCAAATAGAATAGACTACAAAGGTCCAGAAATTTTTTGTGACGTTTAACTTATTTGGTCTTCTGACAAGTGACGCATAAATCACAACAAGAACGGGAAAAGTGTCCAATTGCGTTTACAAATTGTTTAATGATTTTAAATCGAAATATAGGGTAAACGTACCGCGATTCTCCTGGAATTTTCTGAGATGGTGAGAAAAAAGCGGCCGTAGAAACGCGTACTTATTAGACAAATCAAAACTGATGAGACAAATATGTCTTCGAAGCGGAACGCTTCCGCGTGCCACGCAATGGTCGACGATTCGAGCTTTGAATCACTTTATCCGATTTTATCGCAAGTTTATATATATATATATTTTTTTTTTTCATAGCATTACGCGTATTTTATCTTATATCATAATTTAATATTATATAAGTAGAGAAATGCAAAATATATTTCCAGCGGCATATTAATTCTAACTTTCTGTTGAGACCATAAAACCAATGTAGTTAGTAAGTATTAGTTACGTAGACAAGTGAGATATATGATCGGACGATACTACATTTCAAATATGCCATCGCGAATAATATGTTTCGCGAGAATGTACAGCATGTGCACAAATCAGCAATAATTTATTATCGCCAAACTTCGACAAATGACGAATTATTCATAGTTAACTTGCAACATTGTGATTATTACCCGAATGTGTTTACGCGTAAAAAAATTCTGAAATGACAATATTCATATTGATATAAAAAATAAATAAATAAATACGTAAAAGTTATTGGTTGTATATTTATATATACATGTTAACGTGTAAATAACGACACAAGTATTTCCTCTACCGAGATTATAAATTTTAAAACGGTAATAACAGTATCAATTCGATATTTGCAGGACATTTTTCCAACAATTAGAATTAATATCGTAATAAAAATTTTACAAAAAACTTCAAGTGCTCTCGCAAAACACGAAGACCGAGAATATACCGCTAATATTATAGACTGTCGTCATTTCCTCGATCGCGGAATTTCGCAGGAACGTTCTTGCCGAGATACGCAATGCGTGGCGATCGAAAGTCAAGTGTTTACGGCAACAATTACGACCGGGGTAATGAACGCCGAGATCGGCGGCCGTCGATTGCCGTAGAACCGTTGCGAATCGGATCGCAACGCGTGTATCCGACTCGCGGATGCAACCGGTCGTTACGACGATTCGCTAATACACTCCGCATCGAGGAGCCGTTGAGGATCATCACGGGGAAGCGCGCCGGTACCGGGGCGAAGCTTATCGAAGGCCGGTAGATCACGACACTGCCACCGGCCGCGCGAAATCAGCCCGGAACGAAAGGAAGATCCATCGGTTCCGACGGCAACGGCGGCAGCCGGTCGGCCGCCGCTCGGCGACGCGACGTGTCTCGAGGGTCGAGGACCCTGAGATATCCTCTCTCCTTCTCTTTCTCTCTTTCTCGTTTCTACCTGACTCTACGAGTAGGCAGATAAATCCGCCGCCTACTACTATACTCGCCGCGGCGGACAATGCGCCCCGGATGGTGCATCATCGTCCGTATTGTTTGCTCGGCCAACGGACGCACCGCCCGGCTTTTCTCGCAGGTGCTGGAAGCGGAGCGAGAGCAGAGAGTTCTACGCACGCATATATATATATATATATAAGCGCATACATCATGACGTAACGTGATGATGGCACGCGCGGCGACGCGGATATTTTCCGGAAATTGAGTCGCTTAAGCGCGGAAGTCGCTTCGTCCGCGTTTTCGCGCGCAAGAAGATGAAGCGCGATTAGCGTTTCCACGACGCGCTTCGTGCCTACCGCGTTTCCACGAAGAGGACACAACAATTGTAATTCTGAATTCGACCATAATCACGTGGGATTGTGTGAATCCAGCTTCGGTTTTGCGAAGCGCTGATCTCACACCTCGCGCGACTCCCCTTTGGAAAAAGAATTTACCGGGAAGTCGTCAGCGATATCTACGTTATCCAAGACGATGGCTCCGACATCGACAGACGGTCGACAGAGCAAAAACGCTTCTTTGTGATAATAATAACTTCCATCTGCGGCCAATGTGTATCATTTTTGACATGATAGAAAGAAATGTTGCGTGTTGTCACGCTTGCCTGCGCCCTTACGGCATCGGGGCGAGAGAAATTGGCGCACCTGCAAGCGTCTCCTCGTCGAGAGGAAAGCGAAGAAGTGTTCGGTACTAGCGAACGATTCTTCATCAAACGACTGTTCTCGGAACGAGACTTTCTCTCTCTCTCTCTCTTTCTCTTTCGCAATCTGCCTCTTACTCTCCTCTACTTATTACTCTTTTCCTCTCCTAATTCTCGTCGTTCTCTTCTTCGGCTTCTTCGTCGTGGGTTCTCACCCAATCTTCCTCTTTTCTTCTTCTTTATCCTCTTCATCTTCATCTTCTTCTTCTTGAGGTCGAGTTCGCGATGGAAGTGCCACCGTCACCGTCGCGCCCGTTTCCTCTTTCTTCAGCGCGACGCAAATTTCCACGAAATCGTTCCAACGTACACCAATTTCGGCGCGACATGGTGGCATGGTCGCTAGAGGAAAATTACAGAGTTCGGGGATAAAAGGTAGTAGCGGAGGCAGAGGGCGAGAGGACGCAAAGAAGAGGAAGGAACCGAAGTGGTCTGTGGATATAAGGGAACAACTACGCCGCGCGATAATCTGAGACCGAAGAAAGGACCGCGCCAAGGAGGGGGAGGGGAAAAGGGCGCGGAGCTCTCGTCATTAAGCGAAATGATTGCCGGTCGTCGGGGACCACCTACACCCGCAGAGAGGTGCTGCAAGGACGCGGGCTTTTCAAGGATGTTAAGGTCGCACTGAACTTTTAGAAAAGTACAAATGGAACCCCGCGGTTTCGTCGTCTCGCTTCCGACCAAAGTCCATCAGCAGGTGCCGGTCCCATTCTTTTCCGTCCCCAGAAAACGATATGACACCGAGGGACGGCTATTTTGATCAGAAAATGAGTTGTCGTGTTGTCGTTCCCAACAATACCACAAATGCGCCGGCAAATTACCGTTTAATAAAGATTTTCTTGTTGACAATTTTTCAAAATATTGTATTCTACTAGTAAGAAAACAAACAAAAGCAATCGCTTTTTTACGTACAAACGGCTGTTGACACCTCAAAATAAACACTTTGTTTTAAGATTTCGCTATTTAAGTTGGGCAAGTTGGAACCTTTTGCAGGGTGTTATGCAATAAATGAATCTGTAATATTTTATTTCCCTGTAGTATTTTATTTTTGGCAGCGGATATTATTAGTACTGTCGTGACAGTGCAACAGATCACAGAGAAGTCGCAGAAAAATGCCACGGAAAGTTTGCAATTCGCGACAATCGTGAGAGTTTCGGTGACTGAAATGTGAATGAAGACTCTTTGCGAAGATATAATATTCATAAAGTGTGATGTGCGTATATAATTTTATTTGCATTTGTTATCGAGAACGATGACGTAAGAATTTAGAATATTATTACACATATATTCATTCTCTTCGAGTTTCGCTATATTTAAAAAAAAAAAAACGTCGCGAAAACGTGCAAAATTCTCACGAGAACTTGAACTGTCTGTCGGGCAATGGAACCCGGTCGCCGTTGAATACAATAAAACTGAACATAAAAGTCAAATTGAAGGACGACACCGGATACCTCATCGGACGTTGTTTGACCGGAGAGACGTTGCGGAGCGAGTTTTTAAAAGCACAGTCGATCAATTTCAGACAATAAAGTAGAAAGAAACGCGGCGAATTGAAATGGATTTACTTCTTCTATATAGAAAAGCGCGATGTGCGCATTCTCGGGGGACCGACGTTCGCTTTCTCGCGCGCTTTATACACTATCTTATCTATCCAGTTTCGACGGAAACAAAAGTGTGAACACAATCTGAAAAAATTAATAATTTTTACACCATTTGAATTTTTAATTTTTATTAAAAATTAATATTTCTCCTTTCTCTCTATTATAAATTCTTCGATTTGAAAGATATGTAAATAATTTTGTTATTAAAACGGAAGTGCATACAGGGCGTAGGCACGATGCCAGGCAAAGTCAACGCGCGATCGAGTTACGAGTTTCGAATGTCCGTCGGTAGTCGTGACTGCCTCTAGTGTTTCGCGCGCTGCTCACTTGAATTTCGTAAAAATGCTATTTGGAGGCGAGAAAACGGGAGTTGGGGCGATATCAAGTTTCCTCTGTATCGATATCGCGTGATAATCGTAGACGCAGCAGCGCGACTATATCTTTTTTCTCTTTGTCCGAATCGCCGAAGACGCCTTTTTTTTTTTTTTTTTTATCTGCTGCTCTTTTTCTTGTCTTTTTTTAGATTAATTTTAAATCGTTTCTGTCACACATTCTATCCGAGTATAACGCACAATTCTCACAATTCGACTTGGCAAACGGAGATAAATGCGTTAA